CACCTACTTCTTAATGATTATAGACCTTCAGTCCGGCAAAGCCTTAATTTGAAAGGAACTGCTATTTCGGCTTTTTACAGCAGTTATCTTAGTGTAAACACAGGCATTGATATACCCATTGTGCAACCAAATGGAAACAAATGAAGTTGATAAAAACAAGTTTATAATCTAAGGGTCCATTATCATCATACAGGGCCTGCTTTTCTCCTTTGAAGTCAGTGGGATTTTGTCATTGCCATCAATGGAAATATAATAAGATTCTTAGTCCGTATGGGTGGATTTGCCATGTATTACTTCCTTCACTACAGAAACAGCTACTTCAGAACCCCTTGAGATCATCAGGCATTATTATTAAGGACACTATCGTAAATCATATGCTGTATATGTCCCCACTTCCTATTTCAGATAAAAATCAGATTACACTGAGAATATACAAATATTACTGAATAAAAGGAGTGGGGCACTCTGCAAGAACATGGTGACCCTGCTTAGATTTTAGCAGCTGTAGCAGTGCCAGCAGAAGAGGAATTAGGCCTAGGAGAGACCTGATGAGCTTGTTGTCAAATTGGAAATGGGAGTAGAGTGATATATGTGATGATTTGCCTTTGACACAGATGAAAACATTTGACTTTTGATAATCAGATAATCAGCTAATAAAGCCTTGGGCTGTGCTAATTTGTTGGAGTGGAATGTGTTTAGACAGGATAATGAACGTGTTTTGATAAGACGTTTGTGAGATGGCACAGTTGTGATTCCAAGGAGTTTGGTAAGATATTTGTAAAGTCACTCTAACCCTAACAATGTAGTCAGTGTGGAGATGATGTAAATGCAAATGAATCTGATCTCTAACCAATGGAGTATAGGATCTGAGTATATTTTGCAATACATGGCCATATGTAAATTTAAATATCGTATAAATCAGAGGGCATGGTTTATAAAAATACATGTATTTGCAGTGGTTCTTGGAGAAGCGTAAGGCGTGCAGTGAAAGAAGGATCATTTAGATGCATGTGGCTGCGTGTGGAAAAGAGGTGTAACGTGAGAGGACAGGGTAAAAAAGCATTGGGTGTGAGAGACTGAGTAGGAGGATAAAAGATGTAAGAGATAAAAGGGTTGAGAAAGAAGAGATATAGACAAGGGAAAATGTATGTCTGATCTTAAAGATAAGGGTAAATAGCTTTGGTTCAGTACAGTAAGCAACAGGAAGCCAAGCAGTCATTTGTATGGCCAAAGCAACAGGAGAGGAGATGACACAGAACCCTAATTTCGGAGAGATTATTAGGGAAGATAAGTGAAAGAAAAGGAAAACATTAGAGAGAAGGTTATAAGTAAGCACCAGACTATATATGAAGATATTAGTAGGTACTGGTCATAAATATATTTCTATTCTCCACTAAATATTGGTAGGAAGTCTCCATTTTCAGGCATTTAATATTATGAATGGGTTTAATTTGTTGTGTTTCTTTTTCAAAATAATACCAAATAAAGATGTCTTCAGCCATGGATTAATCATTTGCCAAACTTAGTTTTTAATTAAATGCATTGCTGTGCTGTATGAGTGCATAAAGGAGTAAACATCAAAGTTGCTCTGTTCTGCTATTGTTAAAATGGGAAAATTGTTTTTTCCTTTGGAATTTTAAGTTTTATATTACATGATTTAGCCCAAGGCAAATATTTTTTATGGCTGAATTATAAAGTTCTTGAGAAACAGGTTTATAACAGAAGTGCAGACAATCTTCAAAAAAGCATTATAAACACCAAGTCAAATTATGAAGCAAAGATGGGCCTGAACCCAAACCCCAAAGCTAGCCACTCCATTAACTTTTACATACACTGGATTCAGATTCAGCCTTTGTAACACTAACTCATCCTTGCCATAAAATCCCATTACTGATGTGAAAATGGAGAGCTGAACAAATGTGTAAGCAGTTGCAGGATCAGGACCTAAAATACCATGACTAAAATGTGAGAAGTGGATTATAAAAAGAGACTTCTGAATGTTTCATTTGATGCCAGTTTATATTCAAGATGATTAAAGATTAAACATTTTTAGATAAATATATGTAAACCAATGATAGAATGTCTTCACTCATCATTTCAGGGCAACTCGTACATGGAAGAAACCTGTGCCTGTATCTATGAACTAGAGAGAAAAAGATGGCTAGAAAAACTAGACTAATGCCGTCCACATTATGATAGGAGAGGACATTAACGTACAAGACTCTGCTATATTTCCTAGGCTCTGAGAATTCAACAGCAAAAAAAATGCCCCAGTGTGAAATCCAAAATGCCCACGGAGTGCTGAGGAAGGGCAGATATCCTCTTCCATGGGCCACGTTTAGCCACAACGGAGGCCATTCCTGTTCAGCTGTCTTTACAGCCTAGTGCACATCTCTCTCTGTGCAAGAGGAGGAAGCACTGATGTTTGAGATACGAGCATGCTGAAATAAACTGTGGTATATGGATTACTGGTTACAAGGTAGGCTGAGGTGATAAAAGCAACCGTCGTCATTAGTCTTACAATTTATCACATTGTACCATCTTCACTGATGTACATGTTCTGTCTGCATTTAAGTGTTTAATTTTTCTTTCAGAGAATGGAATTTATTTAAAATACACTAGCTACTAACACACTGTGCCTGCATCTGTGGAAAGTGACTTGTTAATCTGATAGGAAAACAAATGGAAAAAAATACCACAGGTTGGTTGGTTGGTTGGTTTGGAGCATCTTTACAGCATACAACTGGGAATGAGTATTCCCTCTCCGCAGATTCATAGAAATTACCTGACGGAGAATGTTAATGCCAAAGCAAGAGAGCCGTCATTGCCATCCACTAAGTGTAATTTTTGATATACATGCTTTCTGGGTATCTGCTTACTACTTTTTACTTACAGAATTAATGTTGGCTTCTGAGACTGAGTTTTTAAAACAAACATGTATGTATAAATTTCTGCAACCCCCCAGTAAGCTACCATCAGCAGGTAATTTATGTTTTCAAAAATAGATGTACTTTATTTTAAAACCTATATCGTCTCTCAGTCAGTCACAGACTACAATGTGCTTCAGGACAGAACCAATTTATCTCAAGGACTGTCCAGCAGCATGAGAGTTTTAATAACCAGAAAGCACTGTTAACTCTCCCCTTCCCCCTTGTTCTGGGAACTTCTCTAAAAGAAAAAAATAAAGGGGGCTTAATGTGCTACCCATAAAATATACATCCCAATCAATCAAGGAAATGCATAAGTATTGCGTATGATGATCCAGAGACTGCCTAAAGACGGGGAAATGAGACTGGACCCAATAACTCAGTCTGACTAGTTCCAGCCTGCCTGGTTTCCAGTCTGCCTGCAGACACGGGCACGGGCAGGGGCAGGGGCAGGGGCAGAAGCTAAGGAAGGAAAGAATGAAGTGTACAGAGAGCATAACAGGATCAAACTGCACTTAGTGCATGATATTACAGAACTGCAACCATGGAAGAGAAGGGGAACGTCTGGCAAAAACTCAGAAAGTAGTGATGAGAGAGTGTGCAGTATGAAACCAGCAGACAGATTTCCTATGGACTTAATCTCCAGGCTTCAGCTGACCTTAAAGTCGGGGCTTCAAAAGGGCAGCGAAGGAGAGTGAGAGTGGAAGGCTTAAACTCGGGGCTGGAGACAAAGGGATGGAGGAGGCTGAATCTGTGTATGATTTCTGAACACAGATGTAACACATTTGTAGTTAATCTGTGTGGCTACAGACTTACAACTGTGTTTGAAAACTATTTCAAACGTAGTTACACCTTCAGAGTGGACAGGGGTTTACTGCTGCAGCTGCACTTGGAGGATGACCCTGCCCCCAGCAAAGCCCAACTCTTTTCCCTCCGCATCCTTCACAAAGACTCCTTGTGGAGTAGGTCCTCTAACAGGTCTTTTTCCTGATGAAGCATGAACAGAATTTGCCTGGGCTGTGCACCAGTATCAAACTGTTTTCAAACTCTGCTCTGGGAGATGAGAGTGGCTGACATCCACCGTTGGCCGCAGGTCATTTTCCTAGCACAGACCCATCTTTGGGGACCATTTAACGCTGTGTTTCAGCTTTCAGCCTTAGAGCTCTTCCTCTAACCCCTACCCCAGCGACTGGATTGCCTCCACACAGAGGGAGCTCAAAGCACTCCGCATAAAAGAAGCGGTTGGGTTCAGCTAGGTAATCACTCCCCCGGTAAGGCAGGGCAACGGGGCAAGGAAGGGACAGGCCCCATAGCTGGGGAGCACCAGACCGTGCAGCCAAAGCAGCGGGATTCAGAGCCCACTCTGTCCCCGCTTTGTGCCCGTCCCCTGGTGCCAGCTGGGGGAGGGGATCGCTCAGAAGGAGACACACACTCCCCAGTGGGGATTTCATGCCGCAGAGCCTCCGCGGGGAGCAGAGCCGGCCCCGGGGGACCCCAGCAGCTCCTCAGACCCTCAAGAGTCTTTATGAGAGACAGACAGGCTGGGGGGGGGCAAAGCCGCAAGGGAAGCCGAGAGAGGCGGGAATGACAACCAGGGTGGGCGAAAAGGGAGGTGGGAAGACAGTGGGGGGGGAGAGGGTTCAGGAAGGTCCCCCAGAGATGCAGGAATGCAAAGGGGACAAGGGCAGTGGGTCCGGGTGAGCCTGCCACCGGGGGGTCCCTCCGCGGGGGTCCTCACAGCTCGCCCCACAGCAGCGCAGCCAGCAGCCCCTAGGATCACGGGGGATAGTGGCGTCCTACCGGGGGACAGCAGGGACTCCGACAGACACGCGTGGGGCGGGTGCTTGGCTGCGCACTCGCGCGAAACAAAAAAGGGGGTCGGGGGGGAAGGTGGCAGAGGGGGAGGCCCGGGAGGGGACGGGGCAGGCTGCCCGCGGGGCGTGGGTCACGGCGGAGGGAGCGGGCCGGGAGGCGGGCAGGGGTACGCGTGTCTGCGTGTGGGGCCGGGGAGACGGGGGGCGGCCGGGCCGGGC